CCTCCTCTCTTCCTGCACTCATCACAGCCACGCACCTGCCCAGTCCAGCTCAGGGGTCCTGACCTCCAGGAACCTCACCAGCTCCTGTCCCTCCTCCAGCTGGATCTGGCACCCCTCGTGCCTCCCCTGGGTTCCCACTGGGCCTGGGCTTGCCCCCTCGCAGTCTCCTCACCCTGGGCTGACACTCAGCATCCCGGGTCTGCTCCCCACACTGGCCTCTGAGCTCCCAAGGAGCTGAGACCAGGTCTTACTCACGTCCATCCCTCCAGCACCCCACACAGAGGGCCTGGGAATCAGGACACCCATCTGTCCATACACCGTGACTACGGACTCAGAGCACCGCTGTGTAAGCCGGACACCAGGGAAAGGAAAATGAACAGGCAGCAATCCTTGGCCCGGAAGACATGCTGGTGAAAAAAGCACGTGCGTAAACAAATCAGAGTTCCCAGCAGTTACATTTAACAGGACAGAAACTGTGGGGGACAAATGCAGCCCAAAGGACACAGCCTTCTGCCTACCCAAGCAGCTGACACAGAGATCAAGAGCAGACTGAGGAGTCAGACGCCCATGTTCAGATCCCAGCTCGGCCTCCTTCTAGCTGTGTGACCTGGGGCAAGTCACTTAACCTCTCTGTACCTCTGTTTCCTCATCCATAAAGTGGGAATAATAATAATGCTCATCTCATAGGGTAATTTGAGGATTAAACATGTTAATTCCTGCAAAGTACTTAAAACCCATACCCGATCCATATACGTTGGTTAGTATCATTTTCCTGGGGGTGGCAAAAATCAGGGAAAGCTCCTTGGAGTTAACACAATCCCTAGATTAACTCCTTATGTCTCCACATTTGGGCCAGAGCCCCAGCAGGCACACACCTTCAGCCACTGGCACACTCCCGGGCCCCCTGGTTCGGAGCACTGAGCAGTTAGTCCTAAGCACCCCAAATCCCCACCGAGGGTTTTCTCCAGCCTGGGGGAGAATGTGCCACGTCGCTGCTAATAAGCAGTGCCCTTCCTCTGAAGTAAAGCGTTCTGCAGAGAAGTGTGCTGAGCCCTGGGACGGCAGCCCTGCTCCCCCAGGCCCAGCCGGCCACAAGCCGGGCCCCACAGACGGCGTCATTAGGCAGCAGCCAGTCCGGGCTGTTTCCAGAGCCCTGGCGCTGAGGTGGGCAGGCTTCCTCTCTATCCCAAGCAGCGGCCGAGTGCAGCTTCATTAAATATGCATGGTGATCACCTCGTTACTGTGCCGAAGGGCTGTGTGTACTGAAGGTGAGCTGCGCGCACCAGGCAGCACACAAACTTTTTTTCAATTTCCCCGGCTGCAGACGGGTCGCATGCTCCCTCCGACCCACCACCCCTTCCTCTGTCCTGCCTCCCCGCACCCAACGCCCTCCTGATGCCCTCCGTGGTGTGCAACGCAGGTAAAAGGCCATATTGATCCCCTTCTTCAGAGCAGCTGGTCCACAACTAATCTTAAATCATTGCAGCCTCGAGCTGGAGCCTGGTGGCTGCTCAGCCCCAGGGAGGGTAGGGCCAGAGCTGAGCTTCGGGGCCCGGGCAGGACTGCACTGCGGCTGGCAAGAGGTAAAATGGGGTGAAAGAGAGCCAGGGCCCGGCCCCATCCCTGTCCTGCCCTTCGTCCATTTGTCTCACGATCCCCTTCCTGCCGGCAAAGCCAGGATGGCAGACCCGCGACATGGACGCACACCCCATACCCACCAGCAACACCAACTCAAAGGGAGCTTGAATCTCCAAATAAGCCCTATATATGGTAATAAGGACTTAACTGAGGCAAATAATCACAATGATAGCCAATGTTCGTTGAGCACTTGCTATTTTTCGGGCCCTGTGTGGAACAGCCCTCCCACACTAAGTATTCTCATTCAACCCTCTACAGAGTCCTATCAGCATCGCATTCTCCAGGTGATGCCACTGAGGCCCAGGAGGGCTGGGCGCCTTGTCCAAGGGTGCACAGCTTGGCAGGCAGAGCCAGGGCCATCTAAAGCAGCCAGCCAGCCAACCACACACCTCCAAGGGAGTGGGGTGCCCAGGGAACCCAAGGGGGGCATGGCCAGGACAGAGATGGGGGCCACCGCCCTGGGTGATGCCTCTCAATCCGCCCCTCCAGAAAGTCTCAGGGCCCTGGGCGGGGGCCAGGGGGCCCAGCTTTCACCAGGGCTCAGGCCCTGTGGCCCACACCTCCTCCCCAACAACCATCAGCTGCTGACTTCATGTGGTTTCTGGGTCCTCTGAACCCTTCCTTAGAAGAGTCTTCTTTAGAGACACCTCTTAGTTCACAGCCTGCCTCCCAGTGTCCCCAGCTGCCTCCTCCCTCTCCCTCCATTGCCCCTGTTGGCAGGGCTAAGAGCGTCCTTTGGCCAACAGGGCACTAGGAGGGCTTGCTCCTTTCCATCTCATCCTGTCTCTGCTCTTGGCTTCTTCACGTCTCTGGGCTCACTTTTCCCACACAGTTCTCCTGGTCCTATTCTTGAGGTCGTGTCTCTCCATCAGATTGGAAAGCCCCCAAGGGCAGGGGTCTGTCTCCCCCATTTGACTGGAGACCTCCGAAGGGCAGGTGGTATCTCACCACCAGGTTGGAGGCCCTGCAAGGGCAGGCCTGGGTCTCTCTCCTCAGACTGGAAGCCCCCCAAAGGCATTGCTGGGTCTCCCCCATCAGATTGGAGGCCCTCCAAGGGCAGGCCTGGGTCTCTCCCCTCAGACTGGAAGCCCCCCAAAGGCATTGCTGGGTCTCCCCCATCAGATTGGAGGCCCTCAAGGGCAGGCTATGTCTCCCTCTTCAGATTAGAGTCCCCCCAAGGGCAGGCTGGGTCTCACTCATCATACTGGAGGCCCCCAAGGGCAGGCTGTGTCTCCCTCTTCAGACTGGAAGCCTCCAAGGGCAGGGCTGTGTCTCCCCCATCAGTCTGGAGGCTGCCATGTGCAGGACTGGGACCCCTCCCCGCTTCCCCAGCTGCCCTCAACTGGGCCCCAGTGCTCAGCTGCTGGCTGAGCACCCCTCACACGGCTCTCCTCCACACGAGTTGGAGCCTGCACAGGTGCTAGCAGGAGAAAGCCAACAAGGGCACCCAGGCCTGGCGTAAGGACAATGCAGGGACACTGGGGGAGGTGCTGCAGGGGGTAGGCCAAGGAGTCAGATGGGCCCCGTCCTTCCTCCTACCAAGTGGCTTGAGTTTCAGGGACCCCAAAGGCCCTGGGGGAACCAGCTCTCCCTGTTCTCCTTCTTCTCAGAAGGTGGAGGAGGTGAGAAGCCCTTGGGGCAGGTGGGGGGTGGTAGCAGGCAAGCCCCCCAAAGCAAATCAGGGGCTGGGAAGGGGGTCTGTGGCTACAGCTGCTCAGGGCTCCCCTCCCCACTCTGGCTTCCCCCCAGGAGAAAGAAGACCAGAGCGGGAGGCAGTAGCCTCCTTCCTGTTGAGGCCCCCCCGGCCCCTCCCCAGATCCCCCACCTGGCCGGGCCCAGCAGGGCCAGTGAGGTCACTGGTCCTCAACAGGATGTTCCCAGCCCTCGGCCTGCGACTGGGGCCCAGGAGTCACCTTCAACCCCCAACACCCTTCTCCTCTAAAGGATGATGAGAACTCAAAGCCTAAACCCTCCAGTTCTGCCCAGAGCACTGCCCCCCACCCCTGGCTGGCGGGCTGGGGTGTAATCCCTCCTCCTCCCTTCCCAGCACCAGGAGGGGCCTCTAATCAAATGTGCCCAGCACTTGGCACTGACCAGGACTGTGGCTCCCAAGCATTATCTCAGTGAGCGAGGGGACCCCCGGGAAGGGACACTGAGCCCCCTTTCACCAGTGGGAAACTAGGGTTCACAGATGGGGCCCTAACAAGGCACCAGCAGGTGAGCGGCACTGGGACGCAGAGCAGGGCGCACACAGCTCCAGAGACTGCCCCTCAGGTTCCAACAAAAACAGAAAGTGAGCACCACGACCCTGAGACTCAAGCCAGGGTCCCAGGGCGTGCCCACAGCTCCCTGGGCCTCAGTTTCCCCACCTGATCCAGCCCTCAACACCTGTGATCTTACAATGGCAGGACTCCCTTAGTGTGCTTGCCTGGCTATTATGTAGCCAATTTACAGCCCATTTATAGAGATGAGCCAGTGGGCAAATGGCAATCGCCCCCCCACAGAAGCTCACCTGGGGCACCTGTCTGTTCCAACCCTGAGCCTATACCCAAACCTCTACTCTGGGCCTGATTACCAAGGCCCCACTCCAAGCTGACAATCCAAACAAATCAAACGATGGCAAACATCACCGAAATACCACTGGGGAGCCATGCCTGAGTCCACGCCTGTGGCCCGGGGACCAGGCCCTCATCCCGGCAGCCAGGGCGCAGGAGGTGCTCAGCCCACAACATGGCAAGGGGGACACTGCAGCCTCCACCTCCACAGTTTAAGGAGCCCAGGGGTGCCCAGGTGGCTCAATCGGTTAAGCGTCCGACTCTTGATTTCGGCTCAGGTCATGATCTCAGGGTTGTGAGATCCAGCCCCGCGTCGGTCTCCATGCTCAGTGGCAAGTCTGCTTGAAGATTTCCCTCTCTCCCTCTGCCTGCTCTCATTCCCTCTCCCTCCCTCTTTCTCAAATAAATAAATATTTAAAAAAATAAATTAAATAGAGCCCAGCCTCCAGGACAGCTGCGTCCACCGGCCTCCCCTCAGCACAGCCGGGTCCTGGATACGGTGTGAGGCAGGGCTCCCAATTCCTGCTCCACAGGCAGCAAGAGACACAGCCCAGGGGCCAGATCACGGCTCAGCCCCGTGGTCGGGACCCTTCCCCTCCAGGCAGCCCCGGGGGTGCATGCTGGGGCAGAGGGCAGGGCCCAGCAGTGATTGGCGGCCCACTGTGCTTCTCAACAAACTCTCACGGATTCCTGAGACACAGCTGGGGCTGAGCACGGTGCCAGGCAGACATGAGAAGGGTCCACAAGGATGCACCCAGCAGATGGCCCAGAGGCCAACAGCCTTGAGCCACAAGGTAGGGCCAGTACCTGAGTCTGCAAGCTAGTGGCATCCACCACGGTGACCCGAGGCCCACAGCTGGCCCACAAGGTGTCCTCCAGGCTCAGCAGGGTGCGGACGGGTCCTGGCCCCACAGTCAGGCACACGGGAGGGCTCTCCAGGTCCCAGGGGACACCTCCTGCAGGGAGAGGAAAGAAGCAGGTCAGGAGGGAGGTAGGGAGGGAATGGCACATAGGTCAGGGGCCCAGGGCTCCTCAAGCCTTGGGAACTGTCGGGAACCCTCAGCAGTGGGCCCAGCCGGGCCCCAAAACACCCTCGCGCCCCTCTCTCTGTCCCTTCTCCCTCCTCCAAAGGGACGGGGCTGTTCCTATCTGCCTCCATTATGCTCCACCCCCTCTGGGGGCTGTACCCCCCAATTCACTCTCCTTCCCTCCTCTATCCCCCTATCTCTTTCCCGTGTGGGTTCCCCCCCAACACACACACACACTTAGTAAGCACCAACCCCAGGCCAGGCCGGGTGCTGGGTACTGGGAGGACAGGAATGAGTCTGATACAGACCCTGACCTCCAAGAAAACCCAGCTGGCCGGAGAGAACAGGGGGTTGTCAGCAGCCCCCACACAAGGTGCCAAGCAGAGATGAGCAGGTAAGCACAGGGGGGCTCGAGGAGTGCTGAGACAGATGGAAAACTCTGCCCAGGGGCAATCCAGAGAGACTTCCCAGGAGACGTGGCATTCGCACGGCCCTGCCAAGGCAGCTCAACATGGTGGGAAGTGCCCTGAGCTGGCCCCCGTTCTGCTAGAAACTCAATCAGGACTTTGAGCACATCTCTTCCCCTTCTCAAGGCCTCAGTCTCCCTATCTGTAAAATGGGGAAACCACCCAGACTGTCTCTGAGGATTGTGACTAGATGTTTCTGGCAGACTCTCGCCAGCTCCGAGATCTCGCCGCCTCCGGGGCACTCTGTCACCTTTACCAAGATCTCTGATGACCTTCTTCTTCTTGAGACACTGCCACCTCCAGGGGCAGAAGAGGAAGTCTGAGAGGCGATTGGCGCCCAGTCTACCACCCCTGAAGACAGAACACACCAAGGGACCTGGCCTGGCTCTGAACAAAATTCTCCCCTGCCCACCCTGGGATGCTCAGCCCACCCAAGAACGTGCCCAGAATGTTCCCTGGCATGTGAGCAGCGCCTTGAAGACTGGCGTTTCTCTGAGGTCACACCCAATGTCACACAGAACCTCAGTGGCCGCCCTGTCCTGCCCGCATGCCAGGTGAGAAGGGGGGCTGAGAGGGAACGGGGGGCATACTCCAGAGACAGGCAGCAGTGGCTGGGGTCTGGGAGGGGGACAGAGCCGGCTGCTGGCTTGTCAGTGCCCGACAACCCTCACATGCTCCCCACCAGGCCCCTGGAAGGAGTCTGAAGGAACCCCACTCACACACCCCCCATGAGCCAGCCGTTGGGGGGGCACAACGGGGAGCAGCAGGCCCCCGAGCTGGAGTGTGGCAGAAGCCGCCGCTTGGGGTGTATGGGGAGGAGCCCTCGGAGGACAGACCAGATCCCCTCCCAACCCCCTGCCCCCGGGCTTTCCCTCTTCCTCTACCCTCCCCACCTGTGAAACAGGTTCTCCCCTCGCCCTTCCGTCCTACTTAATATGCCCAGACACCCCGCTTAGCTAGGAGCCGGGGAGTCGGGTGAACATGAACACGGGCCAGAATCCTGGCCGCAGCCCCCAAACGTCTGCCAGGCCTCGGACCGGCGGCGGCGCCTCTCGGAGCCTCATCTGTCCAATGGCACGAATGTGCCCACACGTGGCCAGGGCCATGGGCCGGGGGACACGTCGGGGCGCTGAGCACAGGGCCGGCACGCGGCCAGGGCGGCTGATGGCTGTCGCTAGCGCCGCTGAGCCCCGGCACGCCAGGCACGGTTTTCGTGAATTCCGTCCTTAACTCCCGGCAAGTCTAAGTGGAGGATCCTATTCTTATCCCTGTTGTACGCTGAGAAAAGAGACGCAGAGTTTAAATAACCAGCCCAGGTGAGGGGGCCAGAAAGTATCCGGGGCCCGTTAGCTCCTGTTTGGTGTCATTTGCCACAACGCAGCGTCTGCGGGACCAGGCGTTGACTCCACCTGACTGATGTGACAACAGAGACCCGGAGAGCTAAGCTGCACAAAGCCACCCAAGGGGCGGCCCGCCAAGCAGGATTTGAACCGTGCTGACCGGCCCCAGCCTCCTTCCCCAACCCCTGCTGTCCTCTCAGCTTCCCGGAGTTTCCAAAGGGCTCTGGGACCAGGATGGTGAGTGACCACAAGGCGTCCAGGCCTCCACTGGGGACCCTGACCCCCACCAGGACTCAGAACCACAAAACGCAATGCCTCGGGCGCCCCCCCGTGGCCATAGGTGAGTAGTGCGGGTGTGTGGCCGGAGCTGGAGCCACTCTGGCTGGAGAGGGGGGTTGCTGTGACCTCTCCCAGCGAGGAAGCAGCTGCGGATGCTGGGACCACATCCAAAAACAAGGAGGTGAGGGCTCTGCCCCATGGGCATAGCAGTTTTCACCACCAGAGCCCTTGTACTATCTACCTTGTATTTTTCCGTCACAGAGCATGGTCGCGGCTGCCGGGGGTAGGGGCTAGGGTCTGACACCCCTGAGGGTCACACGCACGCTGACCTCTCCTCCCCCTGCTGGTGTCGCCAGATATCCCCCAAGAAATCTTGACTCCAGGACAGAATGATAAACTGGTAAAATTTAATAATAGCAATATTTTTATATCAAAAAGGACAAGGGACAAGCGTCCCAGATTAGAGGACAAAGCTCCAACAGGCTTCCCTTTGGTGGGGTTCAGCTTCCCCAGCTGCACCGCGAGGGGCCAGAACTCAAGGTTCCTCCCAGTCCTCACGAGCCACAACCCTAGGATTTTAAAGGCAATCACCCTGAGCTCTGGGTAGGGCTGACCTACGCCCCACCTTGCCCTGCAGTGGCTCTGGGTAAGCAAGCCCATGTCCGGGCACACACGCACACACTCACACGCACACACCTGCCCCGTGTGACAGCCCATCCGTCTGGGCCCAGCACCGGCTCTCACGCCAGACAAAGGGAGATGAAGACCCCGTCTCACTCAGCAAAGGCACCTTGAGGAGGCGGGAGCTCCTCCTCCCCGAGCTGGTGGCCCTCGGGGATGCACACCACTGGAGCCAGGAGGCAGCACACAGAGTGGAAGTCCTCGAGGCTGAGACAGGCCCAAGGGCAGCCCAAGCCCGTCCTAACGATAGGAATGACGGTGATGCTGAGTCCCTCTCCTTCCCGGGCTCCATCTGGGCACCTGTGTGCCTCATCACATCTGGCCCTCACAACCACCCTGGGAGGTGCGGCTGTCCTCACACCCGCTTCACAGGTGAGGAAACAGGTGAGGAGAGCTGGAGCAACAGGCCCGATGGCTCACAGCTGGGACTCCATCCTGGGCAGCCTGGCTCCTCAGTCCATCCCTTACGCATTCCATCATCTGCCTCCTCGAGGGGGTGACCCTGGCCCTCATCCCCAGCATCTAACCAGGGACGTTCCCCTGCCCCCACCCGGGCCTGGTCATGCTCCCATACCTGCTGAGAGATGGGGCGGCGGAGGGTCCCAGGAGGGGACAGGTAGCTGCCTGGCTCATCTCTGGGTCCTGGCGTCCTGAGTGCTCAGTGCTCCCACTTCATGGGCACTTAATACGCAGTGTTCAGTTGTTGAGTTAGTGAAAGGATGAACAAATGAATGAAGGAATGCAGGTAAGCAGAGGCTCCCGGGGGCAGCAGGCTGACTGCCATGGCCACACGGCTCTTGGCCTTGGACTCCAAGGCCCCTCCAGCTCTGATGTGACAGGACTCCGTGTGGCCTGGTGGCCTTGAAGTCCTGTCACCTCTCAGCTGCTGGCTCCACAGCAGTTCCCCGGGACTTGGGCAAGTTCCCAGGTTGGCTCTGCGCATCTTAATATTTCTGGTCCTTCCCTTCCGCCACAAGTCAAAGCAGGAATGCCATTTTTACTGGATCTTGGTCTCAGCCAAACTCAGGCAGGACAGTAAACCTGTGACTACAAACACTGACTAATCCTTCATCCAGTACTGGCTCTGAGCCCAGGTAAGGGTCTGTGCCCAAATTTCCCTTTTTATAAAGACATCCATTGCACTGAATTAGGGGCCCACCCTACTCTATTGTGATCTCATCTTACTAATTACATCCACAACAACCCTACTTCCAAATAAGGTCACATTCTGAGGTATCAGGGATGAGGACTTGAACCTGTGAATTTTGAGGGGACATCACTCGACCCATAATAGCAGCTTTGGGGTCTAACCTGGTACTTTGTCAGAACCAGAAGGGCCACTGGGGACCCCTGGACTCCATACCCTCATTTTCCAGGTGGGAAGGGACTTCCCAAAGTCCCATGAGTGAGCCGGGACCCAAACCCAAGTGTTCTCAAGTGAAATATTCACAATTCCCAGACTCTCCAGGCCACCAGGAGCACCAGAGGGGGTTCCCCCAGCACAGGGCTGGGAAGGGTGGCCCAGGAGCTCTGAGGCTGGCATGGGGCGTAGGTAAGGGAGTGGTTTCTGAGGCCTTAGTGAGTCTGGAGTGGGCCACGCAGCTAGGTCATGTGCCAGGAAGATGGTCCCAGATCCAGCCACATGGAGTACCCCCCAGCCCCACACTGTGCGGCAGGTCCTGAGAGGCCCCCCCTTCCTGCCCAGGCCACCACCAGAGGACACCACAGAAGGAGGAAGGGGGACCAGGCGAGGCAAGGCCTCTCCCAGAGGCCTCCCGGGCCAAAGCCCCAGAGGGTGGGCTCCGGAGAGAAAGAGTGACCCCAGACTCACTTGCCCCGCTGGCTGTGACAACCTCCCGGCCAGCCTCCCTGCCTTCTCTCCTGTCCACCAGCCAGAGGGCATAGTAACCAGCCACTTCCAACACTTCCCATCAAAGGAGATAAACCCAAGGCCCACACCATCTAGCCGTGCGCTCCCAGAGTTTACCTCCTGCCACGGCCCCCTCTGGCTGCACAATGGCCTCCTCTCTGGGTTCCCCACCAGACCAACCCCTCTCCCGCCTCCAGGCCTCGCACATGCTATGAGGGAAGGATCTGTTCCATGTTCCAGACTTATCTCCCAGTTTTGGGCTTCCTTGGCTTGTGGCAGCAGACCCCAGTCCTCACGTGGCTGTCTCCCTGTGTCCTATTGGACTAGGGGCCCATCCTACTCCAGGATGACTCATCTTAACTAATTAAATCTGCAATAACCCTCCTTCCAAATAAGGCCGCATTCTGAGGTATTGGGGATGAGGACTTGAACCTGTGAATTTTGCAAGAACACCATTCCCCCAACTGTTCACTTGCCTGGCGCCTCTGCTGCTTCAGGTCTCAGCTTTAGGATCCTGTGCCTTTGAGAGACCTTTGCCGACCAGCCCACCCCATGCCCAGGGGGTCAGGCTCTCACGTGCCTCCCTGTTCCCCCCTTAGAACCCTCAGCATGATGTATAATCATAAGCTCCCTGCTTGTCCACTTGACTCTGTCTCCCACTATAGACTATAAACTGAGGGCAGGATCACATCTCTATGGCACGCACATGGTAGGTGCTCAGTAAATACTTAGTAGACAAACGTTTGCAAGGCAGGAAAGCTGGTAGAGCTCCTCAACCTTCTCTTCCTGGCCAGATGACCTCCAGCTCTGCCCAGAGAAGCCAAATCCCCTTACGTCTGGAGAGGGTCCTAGCCCTGGAAAGAGGACACTTGGGTTCGGGTCTCGGCTCACTCATGGGACTTTGGGAAGTCCCTTCCCACCTGGGAAATGAGGGTGTGGAGTCCAGGGGTCCCCAGTGGCCCTTCCGGTTCTGACAAAGTATCAGGCTCCAATCCTGGGCTGAAAGCCAATGATTAGACGCCAAACCCCCTATTATGGGTTGAGTGATGACCCTGCAAAATTCACAGGTTCAAGTCCTCAACACCAATACCTCAAAATGCGGCCTTATTTGGAAGGAGGGTTATTGCAGATTTAATTAGTTAAGATGAGTCATCCTGGAGTAGGGTGGGCCCCTAGTCCAATAGGACACTGGGAGACGGCCACGTGAGGACTGGGGTCTGCTGCCATAAGCCAAGGAAGCCCAAAAACTGGGAGACAAGTCTGGAACATGGAACAGATCCTTCCCTCATGGCCCCCTGCCAACACCTTGATCTTGGACTTCTGGCCTCCAGAATGTGAGACAACACATTTATGTTATTTAAACTCAGTTGGTGGAGGTGCTTGGGGGGCTCAGTCAGTTGAGCATCTGCCTTCGGCTCAGGTCGTGATCCCAGGATCCTGGGATCGATACCCATGTCGGGCTCCCTGCTCCGTGGAGAGTCGGCTTCTCCCTCTACCTGCTGCTCCCCCTGCTTGTGCTCACTCTCTCTTCCTCAGACAAATAAATAAATAAAATCTTAAAAAAAACTCAGTTGGTGGCATTTTGTTATGGTGGCCCCAGCCATCTGATACACCCCCTCACCCCCTCACACCCCGGTGCCCAAATTGATAAGTCAGGAACCAAGGGACAAAGGGCGCAGGGCAGCCCAGAGTGGGGACCAGGGGGCCAGAACGGGGCAAGGCAGGGCTCAGAGAATTCAATGGGAGCCAGAGGGTGGGGCGGGGTCCCTTTGAAACCCATGTCTAAACCTCCAAAAATCGGAGCCCATATTTACATTTACACGCATGCAATGTCTGTCAGTAAGAGGGATTTTTTTCCCTCCCTCTTCCCCCTTTAATTAAAAACTATAAATGCCTTATCAAAAGCTAATTAAAAATACCAACACAGTGCCAAGTGGCAAAAAAATAGCTCAGTACAAATATCCGTTTATAACCCTGCAACAGGCAGTGATGACGCAGCAATTAGAGGCTCTTAGGAGGGAGGGAGGGAGAGAGAAGGGAGGGGGAGGGAGGGGAGGGAAGGAGAGGGAGGGGGATGGGAAGGGAGGAGGAGGGAGGGGGGATGGAGGGGAGAAGGGGGAGGAGAGGGAGGGGCCTGCAGGATGCCGAGCCTCAGACTCCTCAGCCCTCTCTGGGTGCACTGGGGGTGGCTGCCCTCCCCCCAGCACACATCTTGGAACTGGGAGCTGAGTAAGCCACAAGGGGACCGGGACCACGGCCCTCTGTGTGGCTGTGCACAGGCCGTGTCCCCTCCCAGGGGCTCAGCTTCAGCAATTCCCGCAGGTTGTGGTGAGAACTCAGAAAACGTGCACACGTTAAGCACCTGAACGTTCCTGGCGCGCAGCAGCTCCGACCCCACCAGCCTTGCCCTCCAGACATCACACTCTGCACCATCCGTGGCTCGTGGCTCCATAACATCCCAGGTTCAAATCCCTAACGCCATTAAGCACTCACTCTGCCAGGCCCCAGGCTTTGCCTTCGCTAGGTGGTTTAACCCACGGGGACCCATGAGCCCTGGGATGACCCAGGCGCAAAGCAACCGCTCACCAGTGGACACAGCCATCGAAAGGGCAGTGAAGTGACCCCAGACCCCAGAGTCCTCGTGACCCCAGAGTCCCTACTCTTGTAGAGTCTCCTGCCAATGGGGTGAGCTGCCTGCATAGCAGTGAGCACCCCATTCTGCGGGCACCCCAGTGGGGATCAGGGATCTCCAACTACCCCAGATTCCCTGATTTGTCTCTGAGCTGCCTCCTTGGCCTGCCTCCCAGCACCGCTCCGGTACGGGATGAGCTCCCAGGCAGTGCCCAGGGCCGCCGCCCCCCACCCCCAGCATCCTCACCACTGGTCCGGGGGTAGGCGGCGAGGGTCCCGTCCTGCAGACCGGCAAGCAGGTGGAAGGCGCTGTGGCTCACGCAGAGCACAGGCTGTGGGCCAGGGCTCCTGCAGGCGGCCAGGCACTGGGTACCCGTGTCCACACTGCCGTAAACCAGGATGCTGTGGGGGAGACCCGAGTGACTCACAGAGCCCCCACCCCCACCGCCCAAGGGCCGTCCTCAGGAGAGGCCTCCCTCCCCTGCCAAGAGGCCTTTGTTCCGCCCTTCCGGAGCCTGGACTTGCCCAGGGTCTTTTGAGGATGGCGCCCTCCCCCCCACCCCTGCCCCAGGGAGAACTGGAGGGGGCTGGTAAAGGTGCTAAGAAGACTTTGTTTTCAGCACCACACAGACCCAAGTGGGAACCCAGACATGTCGCCGTCCCGCTGACTGACCCCAGGCTGCTACCCCTCAGTTTCCCCCCAAAATGGGGCAATAATGCCAGCCTCACGGCCACAAAAAGAAATGAAGCACCAACGCGCGCCTCCTCCCCAGGCCCCTCACCTGCCATCCTGGAGCCCAAGGCAGATGGTCGGATGCACTGCAGCAGAGGGGTTAGTGGTCACATGGCTCTCGTCTCCACTCTCCCCCTCCTCTGGCTCGGGAATGTACTCCATGCAGAGCACAGGGGCCGCCAACGGGAAGGACTTGACCGTGCGGGGCGAGGGCCGGTTCAAGGAGAAGATCTCAACCTGGCCCCCTGCACCTTCCTGCCCGCCCCCGACCTGCAGCAGAGACCCAGAGAGGCCATCAGGTACAACCATGAGGGTGGGGACAGAGCTCAGCGCCTGCCTTCCCGGTGACCTGTCCCAAACTTCTACTCGTACTGAGGTTGGGCATCAGGAGGAGCACCCCCTTTCCTGCCCCCACACATCCCGCTGTCCCTGAAGGTCACTCTTCCCCAGCTGCCATGGCAACAAGTTAGATTCAGGGCCCAAAGGAACGCAGGTAAGGAGCTAAGGTAGACCAGATACCCGGTCAGCTCTCTATCTCCCCAACTTTAGAGTAAATTTCAACCAACAACAGTGAACATACATCTGTCCCTTTACAATGTCCTTCTCTGTCTTTTTTACCATTCTACCTCTATGTTTAGCCAATGGTAAGCACTTAATATATACTTGCTGAATAGGTGAACAGATGGATAAATGGATGGATGGAAGGAAGGGATAGAAGAATGGGTAGATAGATGAACAGATGGATCGATGATTATATGGATGAGTGGACAGATGGATGGGTGGATGAATGATTATATGGATAAGTGAATGGATGGATGGATGACTGGATGATTATATGGATAAGTGAATGGATAAATGGATCAATCATGGATGGATATACCACACACTAGATACTGGGGAAACAGTGAGGAACAAATCACCCTCGGAGAGGATATTTGGGATGGACTCTGAAGGGTGAGCCAGAGTTTTCCTGCCTGCATGCCTGGAGACAGGAATAAGCCAGAGCTGGAAGGTGGCCAGAGGGGGGGGGAGGTGGGACCTCAGGAAGTCTCTGGGAGAACAGAGTCTGTACCACAAAGAACATAAGGGTGCCTATCTGAATGGAGAGAGGCTCTGCCAGGAATCCCAGGGGAAAAAAGGCAGGCACAAGAGCTGGGCAATAACCAGCCCTGCTTCCTGACCCTCTGGGTAAAGACCCTGCCACCCAGACACTCTGCACAGCTTCACTCATTTCCTTCATGGCACATGACCATTTGCAAGAGTCATGCTCGCTTCTTTGTCCCTGGTTTTCTGTTGTCCCTGGTGAAGCCGCGTCTGCCAACTCTAAGCACAAAGCCTGGCACAGAGGTTCCCAGGAAGACCTTCCTGGGTGAAGGTGCACATAATGGGGGCCAGCAGGCAGGCAGCACCCCCTTCCCGGGGCCGTCCTCCATGCTTTTGTCCTGAGGCCAGAATCCCTGGCTGAGCTCAGGAGTGACTTACCCAAAGGTAGCCCTGTGGAAGGGACGTGCTGACTGCTGAGAAGCCCAGCAGGGGACAGCTGACAGGACTGTGGACCAGGGCCCCAAGCTGTAGAGACACAGAAGGCACACATGGGGCTAAGCATCAAGGTGTCGGAGACGCCAACATTCGGCAACAGGACCTCTGTCTGCACTACCTGTGGGGGTTGTTAAACCTACAGATTTCTGGGCCCCACGCAGGTCCCCAGTGAGAATCCCTGGGGACCGGCAAGCGACAGGGTTCACAGGATGTCCAGGCAATACCTATGCACTCACATTTAACCAGCGCTCTCCCAGAACCTTCTGGTTAGGAGGCGCCTGAATGATACCCTGGGCCAGCCACCGATTTTTCAAACTAAGCAACATCTGGATAAGATTTGATGAAAACCACTAACACCCACCCCGCCTTATTTTACAGATGGGGAAACGAGGCCCACAGTGGACACATGATTGCCCTAGGCCACAGGAAGATGACAAGGCCCAGCCTGCACCAGCCTCCCTCCTAGGTCTCCCTGCATTCCTCCAGAGAAGCATAGTGGAGGAAGGAAGGGGTGCTGGACATCTGGTTCCACCCTCCTCAACAACAGAACCATTCTGCAGACAAGCCCGCCAGCACCAGAGGGCTGAGGGGCTTGTGCAGGCTGCCTGCGGGGGCCAGGGGCTCCGTCTGTGACCGGCTGTCATCAAGAGCTACTGGCTGCTTGCTCCTCCTGCATCTGCTGCCCCAAACCCCAGGCCAGATGGCTCTCTGGGGCCTGTTCTCTGAGCTAGACCCCACCAGTCTGTCTCAGGCCAGGACAGCAGTGCGAGGAGGTGGCCTGGCCCTGTCACGGACCCTGCTGGAACCCCTGGCCAGCAAGAAGGGGAAGGAGGCCGAGAGGGGACAGCTGGAGGTGCCCCAGGGAGGAATGCAGCCACCCCTGGACTTTGCAGGGCAGGTGCTGCCCTCTGCTGGCGCTGCGGCCCTGGCTGGCCCCAGCCTTGCGGATGTTCTAACAAAGTGTCCAATGGCTGAAGGTGAAGAAGCCCAGAGAGGTCACCTCATCCAGTCCCCGCATTGAGGAGCTGGCAAATTTGAAGTTCAGGGCGTGGGGAGGGGAGGCGGGGGACACGACTGGCTCAAGGTCACACAGCAAGTTGGCAGCAGAGTCAGGGCTGGAATTCTGAGTTCAACTCCCGGTCCAGCGCCCTTCCTACTCTAGTTAAATTCTACCCAGAGGCCAGGCTGCCCCATTGCAGGCCTCCGCGTTCCCAGCTCCCACTTCTACGAGGCTGGGAGCACAGGTCCAGGCACCCAGAGCAGGAGGCTCCCCTCGCCCTGACCCCCGCACCCCCGAGCACCCTCAGGCCCCCGCTCCTAGTCATTTTGCTTCATGGTGGGCCACATGCAGCTGAGGCTGCGCAGCCCCTCCTGCCAGGGACCTGACGTTTCCATGGCAACTCCAGGGGGCCCGGATGTCAGCTGCACCCACAGAGCCCAGGGCCAAAGTGATGGCAAAAACTGAAATGGCTCCTTGGACCCAGGAGTCCCATCTGTGCCAGGAAGCCGACTCTCCCAAATCAAGGTGCCCTGGGCAGTGAAGAGGAGAGTGGCTTGGGGCTGGAGGACGGAGACAGGCTGTGGGTGCGGCCAGCCCGGGCTCCAGTCCCAGCTCAGCTGCTACCAGCCGGTGACCCCACAAGCCAGTTCCTCATGGTCATGGAGACCCTGAAGCCTCGCCAGGATGGTCGCGGGGACTGGAGAGGCAGACATAACGCACTTGGCACGGGGCTGGGCACTTCGTGTGGGACGTGCTGCTGGCCCTCTATGTGCACCACCTTGTCTTGTCAGCAGCGCCACGCCAGGAGGAGTGGGCTGGGGCAGAGCTAGGAGGAAGGGGACCCCACAAAATAGCAAGCAGCTCTGGCTAAGGAGGGCCAGGACAGAGGCACTCGGCCAGCATGCTGAGGCCTAAGCGAGCCTGGAGCAGACCCTCTGCAGGTCTGGACTGCAGCCCCCGGCCCCCTGAGGCGCTACATCGTAGAGCACCCTGGCCCCCTTTCCCAAGCCCGTGTCCCCAGGCAGGCCCCAGGCTGGACCGCGGCTCACGGCAGGGGGACACTTCTGCACTGAGCCGTCCCCTTGCCCTCCTGCCACCGCTCCAGGGACAGCCTCCAGCCCGGATGGGTGCCACCAGGGGTGCTGCTGGGGTGACAGTCAGCTTAGAAATCCTTCGGAACAGACACTCGCGTCTTTCTGGGGGCCAAAATGCCCTCCAATCTTTGTTTCCATCTTGAACTCTGCGTGCGCGCCACACATCAGGCTAGCCAGGGTCTGGCGTGAATCACACCGTGTGCTAAAGCAGATTCCCAGTGTCACACGGCTGGCATGTGCAGAGCTGGAGCTCCAGTCCAGGGATGGGTGCACCCTGATGCTGTCCTCTTGAGGAAGGCCTCGGTGTGGCCCAGCCTGGGCGCCGGCCACCCATCAGCACAGAGAAGAGCAACGCTCCCTCCTACGGCCCCCACATCCCTGCTCCTTTGAGGGAGAGCACCCCCGCACACCCTCCTCCGGCTAATAGTACAATAGCACTGACCTCGTCTACACTGGGAGGGGGCTGGGGCCAGCAAGCCTTTCCCGGAGGACACACTTAGTCACGGGCTCCCATTAGGCCAGCCGCAGAGCCCGAGTCTGGGGCCCCTGGGACAGGGCCTGGGGAGAGGCCGTGGGCCAGGAGGCAGGCCCACACAGCGGCGGACACGCTCACATCTGTTCCCAGGGTGGTTGGACAAGACCTGGGCACTCCGAGGCCCGCAGTCATCTGGGCTGCCCGCACAGCTGATGGGGCACACCTGCCCGGGCTGGGGTGGGCGGCAGGTGCAAGAGGAGTGGAAGTGGTGTCTTGGGACCCAGCAAATGGGAACATGCAGGCTCTAGTAGGTCCCTCAGGAGCTCCACAGGCTCGTTGTCCCAGAAGGCCACTCACATAGGGGGCTCCTCGGGAGATGGCAGGCAGGGGACCTGGAGGTTGCTGAGGATGCTTCTGGCTGCTACGTCCCCAGGCCTTGAGAATTCCATATGAGGAGCTTCTCAGATGTGTGCCCCCAGGTATGGGGTGGAAGACAGCTCCCCAGTCAGGTGGGTTTCTTTTAGGGACGCCCTGGAGGCAGCGGCTTGTCTATGACCTCACCACCCAGGAGTGATCTGTCAGGCCGTGGTCTGAGTCCCATATTCTCGAAAGGACTAAGGCCATCAGGGGGAGACGGAAGTCACCCCGGGGTCAGCCTTCTCCACAGGATATCCTAGGGCCAGGTAAGCCACAGCCAGGGTGGACCCTGAAAAATTCCAGCTCCGTGGACTCCCTGGGAACCCCCTACCCCATGCTGGGAAGGAGCGCACAGGACTCAGCAGGCCTCCCCATTAATAAATGAGGTCTGAAGGCCTACAAAGGCCGGCTTCCCTGAGCCCTACAGAAATGAACAGCATCTGGCCTCCCCTGCCAGAACGACTCAAGAAGACCCTCCTTCCCCAGTGAGTGTGGGCAAGCCCCACCTCTGAGGGTCTGAGGGCAGTGGGGAGGACCAGAGTTACCGGTGGTGAAGTGCCTAGAACAGAGCCTCCTGAAAGCACTCACCACCACACTGTTGTTGCTGCCATCCTGGTCGCTGGCCACCGAGCCATGCTGGGAACCTGACCGCACCCCCTAAATCAGGCTGTGGCACGGGGAACATTCCACCACCCCCTGACACCACGTCCGGGTGCACAAGCTCAAGAGCTGGGTATGTCCTTCCTGCCCCCTCAGCGCCTGTCTGAACTCTCATCAATGTGGCCAGCCCTACCCCGGCACGCTCCCCGAACGCCTTCCCGTGTCCCCTGCCCCTGTCCCCTCCTCTAGGCTCTAGGAATGGGATGAGAAGAAGGAGAGTGGGGCCAAAACACCCCAACATCCAAAGGAATATTATAACACAAATTTGGCAATAAAAATTAATGCAAAAAAAATCCACGATGAACAATCAGTAAGATTTTAAAGAAACGGACCCTGCATTGCACAGCCCTGCCCCATCCTAATCCCAGCCTGTTACCCCCCAAAAAGCAGCCAAACCAAGCCCACAATTTTGCTGATTTGATGTTGTAAGTATTGCATTAAAATTTCACTCATCGTGATGCTTAGGATTAGGTGAGTGCCCAGCTCGCCTCACCCCAGCCTGGCCCTGCTTCCACCCACACCAAGTCCTGCCACCGCTCAGCGGGACCCCTGCACAGAGCACTGTGTCGGTCTCTCAGTCCCCAGTCTTGCTCTCTCTGGGGCCACAGTTCACTCGCTCACACCTCAGCCGGAAGGACCAGATGATCTTTCCAAAATGTACATCAGAGGGTGCTGGTCCCCTGCATGGAGCCATCCTTGGGGTGTCATTGCCCTGAGAATGAAACCCAATGGCGACCAGCCCAGCAAGCTGGCGTGGACCAGTGCACCCACATCAGACCTGATCCCCAGCCTCTCCTCCCAGCTCACCGAGCTGTAGCTTCCCAGACTGCTCCTGACTGTGTTGTGCCGTCTGTTTGGGATATTCCTCCCCTGGGCCCGCAAGGGGTTGGAGCCTTCTTGCCACTCAGGTCCACCACCTCCTCCGAGAGGCCTTCTCGGCCCCCTAACCATGGAGCCCCATCCCTATATCCATCCCAGCTAACATAACACACAATCACTCTTCTGCGTTCCCTTTTGTTTGCCGGGGTATTGCTGTCTCTCTCCAGACTGAAAGCTGCAGGAGTGTGGGGACCTTGTACGTTCGGTCACCACCATACACCCAGTGTCCCTCACAGGGCCTGGCAACGTTGTAGGTGCTCAAAAATTATATGCAGAACAGACAAATGAACAAACTCATGGCTGAACTGACATCTCAAGGGTATGCACTTTTCACTGTTTGGAGCCCCAATCTACAGCCCAGTCAGCTTGTCTCTTAGGGCTTATGTATCTAGGTCCCAAGCCTGTGCCTCCCCCTCCCCAGAGCTCACATGAGCTCCTCTCCTAGGGAGGAGGATAGGCAGTAAGGACCCCAGAGGGAGCGGTGAGCACGGGCGGGACATCAGGGACAGGTGACAGCGGAGGGAATGTGCTAGTGGTGGAATCGGGCGAAGCAAGGTGCCAATTCCTGGACCCATCACTACTGGCTGTGTTTTTAGAAAATCACGTCACCTGTCTGAGCCTTAGTTTCTAACCTGGGAAACAGATCTAGAAACATCTATTTGAGGGGTTCTTACAAATATCAAAACAAGAGAGTGGTGGCAAAGCCCTGGGGGAATGTAGTAGGCGCTTGACAGACGGAGGCATGACGGCCACGGGGCCAGAGCCTGCTCCTGCCTGGCAGCATCAGACAGGGGCCAACCCACGGTCTGGCGGAGCTACTCAGGCATATTCCGGCCTCTCTTCTGAGCTGGAGTCATGCCATCAGCTGATGAGATCACTGCTACTTGTTAGCTCTAAGTCACGGAATTTTCCGCTCACTTGACCGACAAAGGGCATCTGTCCCCATGTTTTTGGTGGGGAAGCTGACTCCTAGAGCACCAAAACGTCTTGACCAACTCCATCGGTAAGAGGTGGAGAAGCTGGGACTGTATCCTGGCCCTCTCCCGCTGTGGGCACAATCTGGAAACCCTGGTTCTCCCACGAGCCACCTTCGTGGTGGGCTCAGCAAGATCCATTCCACTCACCTGCAGGCTGAGGCCCCGGGAAGAGAAGGCAGGGATGCGGCAGGCCAGGATGGGGCACCAGAATGGGGCTTTGCTCTTCTTGTCCTCATCCGGACACAGCCAGCCCGGCTGGTTCTCCTCCCCTACAGCAAGAGGAAGGAGGCGGGTGAAGCTGGTCAGAATCCGAGGACCAAGCGGGCAGTGAGCAGCCCTGCCGAGCCCAGGGGGCCACCCCCAGCCCCATGCCTGTCCAGCCAAGATGAAAACCGGCCTTGCTCCATGGTCATGGCCATGCGTCCAAGGCAGCGAGTCGGGAAACCTAAGAGTTGAGTCCTGGCTCACCCACCCTCTCATTGAGCAGCCTTCTGCAAATTCCCCCAACTCTAGGCTCAATTTCTTCACCCATGAGACAGGGGCATAAAAACGCCTTTGTCTTGAGGTCGTTATGAGGATCCAGTGAAACAGTAGATGAGAAAGAGTTTCAAAAATGTTGTGATGCTGAGCACAGTCCAGGCCCTGCTGCCTTAACCTAGAGGTCTAGAGGTGCTTCTGGGGTGGTGGGGGCGGGGAATGGCCAAAAACAAGCCAGAAGACAAAGTGACACAAACATGCTGCTCTTCACCTGGCTCTGATGATGATGGTATGGTCAAGAGGATGACTCTCTCCTGCTTCCTTTGAGACCCACCCTGAAACCCAGGTGGTCATCTGCCTCCACGTTCCCAGTCTAGCTGGACACTGAGGCCCCAGGGGCCTGTGAGAAGTGCAGGTTCTCAGACCCTGGACTCACATCTGGACATCGCTGTGTTCAAGAGCATCTGCTAAACCACACTCTGCAATGTCTCCTTCACATGGGTCAGGGCTCCCTCACACGCCACCACCTCCAAGAAGTCCTCCCTGACCACCCTGGCTATGATGGCCCCCTCTCTCAGAAACCAGTCTAAAGACCACATCTTATTTCCCGCATAGCCTTCACCACAATCTAGAATCACTTTGTCTATCTCCTTGTTCACCGTCTCTCTGCATACGTCTCTAGAACGTAAGCTCAGGGCAGCAGGACCTGACCTGTCTTGTTTGCTGAGGTCTCCCTGGCACCAAGCCCACTGCCTGCACATGGTGAGTGCTCAGCAAGCACGGGTTGAAAAGATGAATGACATGAGGGCGTGAGTGAGCGGGTAAACTACCATCCGTCCCAGAGGATTCTCCCTGTTCAAGAGCCCATCCTTCTCTGCACTCCATATGGGGCCCACCTTCTAGGAACCCCGACAGCCAGGGCAGGGCATGGTGAAGACACCCACTGCGTGTCCACACACAGGCACATGTCAGGTCCTACAGGTGTCCCGGGTTCTCGTTTTCACAGTAACCAAGCTCAGTGAGAATCACGATTTTCCCTTTATGGACAATGAGACCGACTCGAGGATGATGTAATTGACCAGGTCATGTGCATGGCTGGTGGCAGAGTCCAGATGAGGACCTGGGTCTGCCGGACCCCAATGCTGTCTCCTGGCAACCAGCCCCCCCTCCCCGACTGAGGGGCATGACTGACTCTGGACAACCAGGAGGTAGCTCTGCCCCGGAGAGGGAGAGCCAGAGGATGGCATGGGGCTCCCTGGGCAAGAGGGGTCACTCAACGCAATGACATCAAGCTCAAGGGCACCTGGAGCTTCAGGGATGGGAGGAGACGTCTTCCACAGAAGAGGCGTGATGACAGCCTTCCCACCCCTCACAGGGCTACTCAGTGGCCAGGAGGAAGCAGGGACTCGGGCCCAAGCTGGCCCAGCCGAGCAAGGGTCAGCTCCATCTGAGGGGGCTCACCAGTCACAAGGGGCCTCCAGACCGGTTTCCCACGCTAACCACTGCCCCCCACGACAGCCAGAGCCATCCCGCTACACTTCCACTGGACGTCGCCGTTCCCACGTCCTTCGAGTCCCATCCACGTGGAATCAAATCCAGACTTTTCCAGGACAGTGAGGATGATCCTTCCCTCCCAGCCTCATCCCTCGGTCCCAGGCTCCACTGCGCTAGGCTTTCCTCAGCCACTTACACGAATGAGCCCAGGACGTTCCCTCTGCCTGGAGCGCTGTCCTCCCCACCCCCGGGGCTGGCTCCTCTCCTCCCCGAGGCTTAGGTTATTTGTCCACCTCCTGGGAGCGGCCTCAACTGACCACCACCCACCCCCGCCCCTCCATCGCTTTCTGTCTCAGCCCCTGTTGGTCTGTCACGGCCCTGAACACAGTTTCTGGCTCCTTTATTGGCTTGGCTCTTTTTCCTGTGCGTGCGCGAGTGAGTGCGCGTGTGCATGTTGGTCTGTGTGCGTGTGTGCCCACAGGCTCCCCAACCTCGCCTGTGTTCTGTATGAGGAATGTCAATCAAACCTCAATAACGTGGCCTTTAACAATGCCACTGCCACCAGAGGAGGCGGCCTCCCAGTGCCGGTGGTGGCACGAGGAGCTGGGACGAGGTGGCACGGGAGGATGCTCTCTGAGAAGTGAAAGACATCCGCAAAGCGGCAGGCACCATGACATGAACCACCTGCTTCGGCAGAAGCTCCGGCCCGCGCGCCCAGGGCACCCACCCCACCAGCCGTCCAGCAGCTGCACAGTGAGCTCACCCCCAGCATCGGGCCCTCCACCCCACCGGGTCCTGGAGGCAGCATCCCAGGAAAGGACAGCTCACCAAGGAGGCGAGGCCGTCGCGGAAAGGGCAGCTACGGCACAGGACAAGCACCATCATAACGGAATGCACACGTGCACCACACCTCACAGTTTACGAAGCTCTGTGCCCCGTTAGCCTCATTTCATCCTCAGGGCCACCAGGAGGGGTGGGTGTTGGCATCCCTCTCCTACCCGGAGAACCGGAGGCCAGGGGGGCGTCCAAGGCTGGGCCCAGGAGGCGGAGAATGCACTGAGCGCGGGCTGACAGCCCAGACAGCCCACCCCGCGGGGCAGCACCCTTCCCCGGGCAGGTGCGGACATCACGACGCCGCGCTGCCTCTTGGACAAGCCCCTGGGCGGTGAATACGGATGGGTGGGACTTGAGTCTGCCCTGCTCTCAAGGAGACCACCGAGAGCCCAACAGACGGCTCAAACGCAACTGCCCCCCCGGGGCGCCACCTCCTTCCTGGAGTTCGGCCCGTGAACATAAAGCAACCCCATCACCACGCCGCCCGAGCTCCTCTCCTCTCCTTCCCCCCGCACCCACAGCCCATCAAGTCCTGGCAATTTATTACGATATATATTTTTTAATGATCTGACCTTCTCCTTCCAGATGGTGCCTTCCCTGCCTGCGATCGGGGAACGTTAAAGGAAAATGGAGTTGTAGCTCCCCATCTGCCACTGCCATTGTTCCTGTCACAAAACCAGGGCGGCTGAGACCAAATTAGAAGGCTGTTGCAGTTGAAAATTGAAAGCCCGCTTGGGATAAGTGACATTAAGAACCGGCACCGTCGGCAGAGCCGAGATTTCCAACTGACACTAAGTGGGGGCTTATTTAGCGCCCAGCTCTGTTTGCCAGCACCCACTGAACACAGGAGCACCCTGTGGGGCAGCGGGGGAGGCTCCGGGGCTGGAGGCCATGGCCCCTTCTGCTCCCCCCACCTCCGCGCCCCCAGAGCCACCCTGCCCGCGGCAGGAGGCTGACTGTGGCAGCTGGGCCCCAGCTGATCCCAACTCAGCCTCCGGCTCCCTCACTGTGTGACACAGAGCCAGAAACCGAACCTCTCTGAGTCTGCTGCCTCCTCCGGAAAATGGGGAAAATTATTCCAACCATTCAAGGGTCATCGTGAGCGCTGGAGGGAAAAAAGGTTCAACGCCTAGTATATGCCAGGCCCTCAAGAAATAGTGAGATCACTGTCCTGGAGGTGAGGAGTCTGCCTAACCGCAGGCTTGAGGGCGGCCACCCCACCTGCACCAGGCTGAGCCGCTGGCCCTGCCCTGCCCCTCGATCCCGACCTGCCTCCCGAAGTCCTCCCACGCTCAGTCCCAGTGCTGTGCTTTTCCTGCCACCGCTATGGGTGACACTCCGGGGTGGCAGCCCAGACCACCCTTCTCTACGTTCCAAATCCGAGGCTGCCCTCAAAGGTCCTCTTACACCTCCAGCGCCACGGAGATGCCACTGGCCACGGCCACAGACATAGGGGCTGGCGAGACATGGGCACCCTCCTTTTCCAAACACCAGCTCGCAGAGAGAGAGACAGACACCGGTGCCCAGGGAGGCCAAGCAAATGGCCGTCACCCAGCTGGGGTAACACCGCTCCCAAGGGCAGACCCACTGCTGCAGCCTGAGGGCCTGGGCAGGTCCCAGCGCCCATGTCTGCACTGGCTGAGAGTCAGTAGAAAGGACAGCTGGGGCGTGCTCAGGGCCACGCTCAGGATCCGTCACTGGATCGTCGTCAGGGGGAGCAAGGGAGTCACTGTGAGGACTGAGGGCTGGACAACTAGCCAAGTCCGAGGCAGCAAGGGAGGGCCCCCCAGGTCGCACCCTGTGAGGATGTGTCCCTGTGAGCTTGGGACCAGCCCGCAGCCTGCCCGGCCCAGGTCCTTGGGAAGGTGGGAATAAGGAGGGGTGCAGTGGGAGAGGCTCCAGGGACCCAGGGGCTGTAAGAGCCACAAATGCAGCACTTGAAGAGCTTCAGGTGAAGGGACACAGGCAGGGAGCACTGGAAGCCCACAATCATGCCTCTTCCTTCTCTGGGGCCTTCCATCTGCAACCCTTCCCTGGAGCCTTTATGAACAGGAGACTAATTGGCAGAGGGGTGGGAGGGTGGCCCGTCCCGTCCCTGTTCTGCACTGAATCGTGTGCGACCTTAGACCAGTCACTTCCCCATCAGTGAGATGCAGGCACCCCCTTGTCCTAGGAGCTTCTCCCACAGGCCAGGCACTGGCCATCCCAGGAGCCTACCACACTGTCTCCCCATATGTTAACAAGAGCCCTGTGATGGGGGCACTGGCATTATCCCCACTTTCCGATAGAGAAAGGCATTTAAAGGTTAAATCATTTGCCCGAGATCACAGAGCTGGGAAGGGACAGAGCCGGAAACTGACCCCAGGCAGCCCAGATCCATTTCACTAGGCCCTAAGATCCCAAAATGTAAGAGGGGAGAGGACCACTGGAGCTCTAGTCCGACTCACCTCCCAGAGGCCTTTCC